ACTTCGCCAGGACTGATAGAAATGATCTCTTCAAGGTGATTTCTACTTGTGATGAAACCCATTTGGGAGAATAATTATATGGATTTTGAACACATCATTCAGTCCGCATCTATTCAATATATTATCTACATTTTTAAGCCAAACATTTTCTTCGAAATTTTTATTTTATCATACATCAAACAATCAAGGATTGTTTACGATACCTTCTTTTATTACTGCTAAGAGTGTTATGCCAAAACATCATAGTTCTCTTCGCTGTTTTAATGTTCATTGGTTCCCTCCTAGCTCGCCATATATACTAGCCACATAAAGAAACTGTGCATTGTCAAAATATGATCCCAGTTGATAAGTACGATAACAATGTCAAAGGTACATATAAACTTTAATGGAGGGATCATGAGACCATAACAATTCGGGAGAATTTCAATTGAAAGGTCAATCACAATGACGTCACGAGTCCACAAGCGGGACAGGGGTCAAACGACCATGTCACAAGCTCAATAACGGGTATGTCCACCATCGGCATTGAGAACAGCAGTGCATCGACGACGCATAGAGCCTATCAAACGTGCAAGGAAGGCTTGTGGGATGTCACGCCAGATTCTCTCAAGTTCTGTTGCAAGGTCAAGGACGTTATCTGGCGGATGAGGAAGACGGCGTAGACGTTGATCCATCTCGTCCCAAACATGCTCTATCGGGGAGAGATCCGGTAAATTTGCAGGCCAAGGCAGTAAGTCAACGTTGTGGTGTTGCAAGAAATCCATAGCATCCCTTTGCCGAATGAGGGCGGGCATTTTCCTGTTGGAAGGTTAACACAGGGTCATGACGTTGCAGAAAAGGAATTGCCACAGGTCGAAGAATCTGATCCCTGTAGCCCACACCAATTAAGTTGCCCTGAACAATCACCAAAGGAGTTCTTTGGCATGCTGTTATTCCATCCCAAAGCATCACGGAACCACCACCAAAGCGATTCCTCTCCAACACACAGGCCTGTGCATAACGTTCTCCCACGCGTCTATAGGCACGTTGACGTCCATCACTATGGGAAATGTTAAACCTGGACTCATCTGTAAAAACAACATTTCTCCACCAAAACAAAGGGTCTGCGGACATGATTTCGGCACCACATTCGGCGAGCTTGTCGAGGACGTTGTGTCAGGATAGGCCGTATGGCGGGACGTCGTGGTCTGATCCCGTGATGACGTAAACGTTGTCGAACTGTGTTGGGGTGGATACGGCGAAGTCCTGGGATGGTTCGGACAGTCATCACTGCAGTCTGAAACCTGTGGCGAAGATGGGTCACCCTTATCCATCTGTCCTGTCTTGGCGTTGTTACACGTGGACGTCCAGAACGTGGCCGATCGATGACGTCATTTGTGTTCTGGTAGCGTCTCACCAGTGCAGAAATGGTGTTCCGGTGGCAGTGGAAATGTGCAGCCATTTGTCGTTTAGACATTCCCCAAGGACCATCCCAATGGCTTCATGTCGTTGCCCACTGACGTCACGGAACGTGGCACGTGCATGCATGTTGGATACATGTCACTAATCTCTGAGTTTAAATCCTTATGTCTCTACACAGGTTTGATAAATTTAGATTTTAAATTTTTGTATGCACAGTTTCTTTATGTGCCTAGTATATAGAAAGAAGTGTGCTGTGGAGTTTCTTAAACCGGTTGATATTTTAAGAAATTTAAGATGGAGTTTTTCAATAATTTCTATATTTTCATAACCCCATGATTTCACATCCATACAATAAAATGCGGGCAGTCATTATATCAAATGCCTTAAAAAGGGTATCAAATGGTAAATGAATATTCTTTGCTATACGCAGAAGACATAACATGGCTTCAGATGCTTTGTATGCCAACTGTTTAGCTGCAACATTGAATCTTCTATTTCTATGCACTGATATGCCAAGGTATGAATAGGAACCTTTAAGGAAAATTTCCTGATCGCCTAATACAAAACGTGATTTATACTTATTAGCGGGTGCTCCTCTGAATATCACAACCTTGGTATTTGAGATATTAACTTCCAGCTTCCAGCGCTTACAGTATTCATTAAATGAATCCAAGGATTGTTTCATAGAGCGGGGGTCATTACCAAATGGAACGGTGTCATCTGCATAGAGCAAAACTAGAACCTGTAGCATTCAGCACATTTCATCATCTATACATTCGATTTGAGCTCCCTTGGAGCCTGCATTGTATAGTTGAGACTTAAGGTAATTTATAAATAATAAGAATAGAAGAGGTGATAGGTTTTCACCTTGCCGACGCCAGAGTAACAAGGGAAATAATCTGATTGTGTATTATTAAAAGCGATACAGGATTTAATGTTTTTATAAATGTTTTCGACAACATTGAATAAGTTACCTTTATTGCCGTATTTTTGTAATGCATGCCACATTCCAATTCGCCAAACATTATCTTCGGCCTTGGAGAAGTCAATGAAAGTACAATATTGTTTTTTCTTTGCTGATTTAAAGAGTTGCATCAGTATGTTTATTGCGAATAAATTGTCTATTGTGGAATTGTCTACACTAAACGCCAAAAGAAACGTTACCCTCCTTCCTTAATGGCGGAGGTACCTATCTTCAGCTGGTGTTGTGATGTGTGGACGTCCACTTCTTGGTCTATCTACGGTGACCCTAGTCTGTCTGAAGCCCTGATTAAGTTTGATAACCGTGATACGGTGGCATCCGAGGGCGTTGGCAACAGCACGGTATGTCGATCCCATCTGCAACATCCGAATGGCTCTTTCCCTCTCTTCAACTGGTAATCGTGGCATATTTCTCGTACTTGCGCATCATATCATGTATTCTAGGCTCTCTTCATACCCTGTAGAATCAGTCTACATGTGAAATGGACGCAAATACTGCTTGAATATTGCTGCGTTTTGGCGATTGGTATTTCTATGTTTAAACCAAAAATGGAAAAATGTTACTTTGCCAGCAAAAATGAGAACAAAGATAATGTTAGATGTTCCTAAACATGTTTTCACAATATCAAAGACACGTTTTACTTGTTTTCACTAATGCAAATCAGCAGAAAATGTTTTAAAAGACTGAAATCACAGGAATTATTATTTTACAATTTTACACACACTACAGCAGTTGTTTCTTTTTTGATGACGTTGTTTTAATAGTTCCAAAATGGTGAATTTAAATGGTGTATTTTTGTCTCAGAGCAGAATTTCATTTCAACCTTTCTTTTTGGACATCTAAATCACTCATTATTGGTTTTTTCGGCATGGACGAAAATAGGGCAGTTTAACTCTTCTGAAAAAGATGCATTTCACCAAAATATGAATGCATTTTAGAAATTTTTCCTGATTTACATAAAGCTGTGTTTTTCAGCTTTCTTGTAAACTAATACCTTCTAACATATTTGATAGTTTTAAAGGTCACATGCAACGTAAAACACAACTTTGCAGATTCTGATACCTTTCGATATGGACTTACCGAAACAAATCATCAAAATGCAAATTCAACTAATAAAGGAGTTGAAAAATAACGCGATGAAATAACTGGAGTTCAAACCATTCACTAATTTCCCCCAGACTTTCGAGGGAAAACTGGTTTCAACAGCTGGGCTGCGCTCATTGCACGTGCGCAGTGAAATGAGTTCGCGCAACTTGGAAGCGGGTTGTCCGTTGAATACTCGGTGAAGGCTTTGGTGTGAGCTATATTTTCCTAATGTTTCGTTGATATCTCACAGGCGCGAGCTTTTATATGTTATGACAGTAAATAAACTGTTTATATAATTTCATTTGTCTATTTCACCACACGTTCTTCTTACCGAGTCACTTTCTCAGTTCGATACTTAAAAGCAATGTCATTATTTAGCGTTGACAGAATTTCTAACTGTGATATAGATATGTCGTTGTCACAGACAAAACTCAATGTCTTGTTTTATTGACACCTGTGTGTCTGCCTGCCTGTCTGCTAATGACAATATTCAATACACAACTGCGATCACTGACCACATGCAATTTGAACTTAACACCAATCAGGCTATACACCATAAACAAAACGCATTGATTTATGGCCCGAGTTCGGTCTCTGTCACATTATGTAATTGCACAGACAGGCAGGGTGTGATACTTGAACACATGACATGTTATGATGTCTGTTGATTGCAACATGTCATACACAAAAGAGAGCATGTATTTACAAAACCCAACATCTCTATATATACACACAAAATGAGCCGTGTGGGCATCTGCAAATGAACCAGCCGTTACGCACTTGAGTGCACACCCACCCGCTCTGACGTGGTTCGGTATCACAGCTGCTTCGTTTCTTGGGAAGTAAACCCAAGTACACAACATTCACTACAAAATAAGTTGGTTTCCGGAACACTGAAACTGAGAGGAACTGCATGGAAACCACCATTTCCAGTTGGTTTCCATGTAGTTTCCTAAAGTTTTCAGTGTGGTTTCCATGAAAACTGAAACTGAATTTTGCACCATTTCCGGATGGTTTCCAGTGCGTTTCATTACCCACTCCTCCAAAGCCGGGATCCAGCTGGTTTCCATGTTTTAATTTACTGGCAGGTTTCAACCTGGTTTCCATGTTTTAGTTTATTGTAGGTTTCAACCTGGTTTCCATTTTACGTTTACTGTAGGTTTCAACCTGGTTTCCATTTTTCGTTTATTGTAGGTTTCAACCTGGTTTCCATTTTTTCGTTTATTGTAGGTTTCAACCTGGTTTCCATGGTTTTGTTTATTGTTGGTTTCAACCTAGTTTCCAGGTCATAGCTTTCATAATGCTTTACCCACTCCTCCATTTAAGCTCCTGCTGCTTTCCATGTGTTTAGAATATTGTTGTTTCAAACCTGGTTTCTATGAAACTGAATGCTGGCTATTTACCTGTTCCCCCAGGTGTTTCATGTATCAGATAGCAAATCAGGTATTTTATACAATTGAATAATGGTAAAACCTTTAAGATGACAAATAACAGAATAGAACACAAATGAATGAAAAGTTTATTAACAGTCAAAACTCTTTGATTGTGAACATGGTTAATTAATTATGTATCTAGCTACATGTACATAACATCAGGGACATAAGAGTAAGTGAGTATAGTTTTACTCCGCTTTTAGCAATATTCAAGCAACATCACAGCATGGGACATCAGAAATGCGTCTCAGGAATCAAAATCAGCAGTGTTGTTCAGCTTGTCTTCTACTGCTGAACTTTTCACTGCCCAACTGGGCATGTCCAGTGGCAGATCAGCGTGTTGGACTTGTGTGGGATGTCTTCCCCACATCTTCATATTTTTTCGGCCCCTTGCAGTAGCCTTGAACAACCGCTGGTTGTCCAATTGTCGATTATATGAACAAAGTTTCTTGCTTTCCCACCAGAAAGCAGTTGACAAGAGAAGATTTTCATCCTCTTCGTCTGACAGCTCTTCCCATTCGAGAGAGGTAGAACTTTCTCCTTCTTCTTCTCCGGCCAGTCTATGGTTGCAATGGCCTTCAGCCTGCTTTCCAGTTTCTGAAATTTAGAAAACGATAAACAATCAGTACAAACAAGCATTCGTCAACAATATCCGTAGCTAGAAAAAGGAAAACCACCCAATATTGCTGTAGGAAAACTAAATTGAAACTACTGTTCTATAAGCAAGTAGTAATAAGAAATCTAACTAATCACCTGAAATGACCTGTAAAGGGGCAAAGATTTCAATCACAGTACAACTTAATGAAATTTGAAAGAGTACAGACACAAGTGAGAGAGAAGGACATATTTCCTTAGCTTGGGTTGGACATTTCATGACTGATTCTCTTTCAATAAATTATACATGTGACTTATGGGAAACTGACATTGAATCAATAATATACCTTATGAATGCTCACTAAATTTATGAAATACTGGTCACTGTCATTGCCTACTTATCTGCAAAATGTTCCTGTGAAAGCCATCTTATCTTCTGAATGTTGCATAAATCATGTTTAGATATTATGTGTATAGAACTATGAATTACCCATTATTGTGTCAAAGGAAGCATATTTTCTTACACAGTTGTTTTGGTCTGAACAGTTCACCCTGAACACATCAATTAACAATTATTTATTAACAACACCACACTTGTTAGAAACTGCAAACACAATAATGTGAGATATAAGATTGAGGGGAACTCCCATTCAGTTTCTAGTCGACTAGAATGACCCCACATTTAAAACAAAATTATACACTGGCGCTTTACTATTTTACTTATTAAAAATGTTCATTTTGAAGTTTCTTTTGAAGGTCACAGTACAATACAAGAAATTACATTAACTTCCAATTGTTTCCAATCAAGTTTATGTTAAAACGTTAACCTGTGTAAGATTAGAATTTAGAATGATTAGATATTCTGTACTTACTGATCTGACCCTTTTGCTGTTCTTAGCAGACAACCTGTGGGCCTCTGCCTTTCCACGTTGTTGTCTTCTCAGGTCATCCCTCTTGTTGGTCCACACCCACCAAAAAAGCTTCTGAAAGGAGATATGTATAAGTAGAAAGTAATAGTAGCTGTTTTATGCATTTTCCGATTTATAGGATTTACATTTTTTTTTAAACATGGTTTAGCATTGTGAGTACTAGTGAAGACTGGATAAAATAACTTTATTTCACAATTGCATTTTAAAGAAACAATAATATTTGAAATTATATTACTGAAATAATATGTCTGTGCGTTGCAAATTCTGTAGGGAGGATTACAAAATGACATGAATGTAGTGCTAATACAAATATGAAAAAAGATGTTCACCTTCAACATAGCCATAACTTTGTTGTAATTTCTTTTCATGTACACAGAATTGTTGATACTGAAGGATTTGAGTTACCTGTTGTAGGTCAAAATCAGTTGGTCATCGGTCGCCTTCTTCAATTTTTCCACCACTGCCCTAATGGATTTGCTGGAAATGTAGAAATTAATCGATTAAAGAAAACAATAAGGCAAAACACAGAATAATAAATATATCAGTAGAATACAATAATATGAAAGAAACCAGATATGAATAATTCATATATTATTTTAAATTGACAAAGTGTATCCCTTTAATAACAACTTTATTATTAAACTTTCTATGCATCTTCAGATAAAATTCTTGACATAAAGTAAAATTGTTTATATCAAATAATATAGTTAAATTACATAATACATTAATAATATCTTACTGAGTTTGAAAACCCTTTTCCAAATCAGTTAAAAAAATATTGAATTGATAATGTATCCACTCAACACCAATATAGTATCATATATATATATATAAATATATATGTACATGTATACAGGCATATATATATACATATGAAATTGTAACTAACAAGACAAAGAATGTTTGTATGGAAGTGTTTGATTGTTATTAAACAATCTGTAACCATGCACCAAATTTGGCCAAAGAATTCCTATAAATACAAAATGACTGGCTATCCCCACCTGTACTGGTTCAAATATCAAAAGCAATTTTCAATAACAAACTTTAAAACGAATTTCCAAACACTGGTTTTCTTACATAAGGAAAATATTCGTATTTATTAAATCTAAATACGTTTGGAAGAGATCTTGAGTCTTTACAACGTGTCAGTAATATTGCTGGATATATATGTGGTCTATATATTTATTGCAAAAATAATATTTCATACATTACCATTATGAATGAGTTCTTGAGTTGAGGGGGCACTGGGTAATAATAATCTCCTTACCAAAATGTCCACACGCATTTGCTTGTCGAGTTCCATCAAGTCATCATAATATTTATTGTCCTAGTTATTTATTACGATAAACGAATAACATTCTATTGGGAAATGTAATATCAAGAAACTTTCACTGTACCTGATAAGGTCGTGGGACGTTCTGTTTCTCTCTCTCTGATCGACGACTGCTGCTGAATTCCAGTTCGCGAACACGAACCTCCAAAGCTTCTAGAGACACTCTCGATGCCATTTTCTCGATTTAGATAATACGTACAAGCGTAGGGATAATCCATTGTGTTGAGTTTCTTATATAGCATATCGTATAAACGGGTGCCACAGATAAGGGCTACTTTCAAAACAACTCCTGAGATCAAGAGACAAAGTGGCGGCAATATTGAGGGTTACAAACGGGATTAGAAGGGCATTGTGGGTAATAACAAATACGTAATCCTTTTTCGATTGGCAGGTATGAAAACATTATCTAGACTGATTGATTTCAAGACAAAAGTTGAAAATGACCACTTTGGCACATAAATCGTTGTTTGATGAAATCTCACGAGTTCGCGTGCCCACCGACTCATTATTTCCGGTTTCGTCTGTCAACACATGGTTTCGTCTGTCAACACATGATCAGGTAAGTTCCCATTGGTTTTACAGCTATTTCATTTTGATAATAGGAGCCCCTAAGACGATACAAGCCCAAGGAAGCCGACAAACGAATCCCGACACTCAATTGACCTGACACTGATTATTTGTCAAGTTCTCAGTGTTAAAAGCATACTAGCTATAGACGCTTTTACTGGTAAATGTTACTCACTTTAAACCCTCAACTACCTCAATTCATAGTAAATCTTTTGATATTCTGGTTATTGAGAAATCCCATCATGTAAGTACCGGATGACGATTGTTTAAATGACATTATTGTTACCATCCTAAATACTCTTTTTTCATATTCCAAAGCAAAACGTTATTATTTTACGTTTAAGATTCGGCATTACTACAGTAGTATTCATCATAGAATACCATTCATCCATATACATGTATATTAGATGAAATGTGACTTAGAATATTAACTCAATTATTATGATAATTACTATGAAAATACATATATTTAGTGTTTGTTGTTGTTTTTCAATGTTCGATATACCATAACGGTTTAGTAATTCAACTCTCAATTTCCTTTTCAGGGTGAATAAAGTTTACTGTGAGCACTGTAATCAATATGTCTCACGTAAAACAGCATACAATCACAAGAGATGGCTTACTAACAATGGTAAGTTGTACATTATTTTCTAAAGACATTAATGATGTTTCACAGAAGTACAAAGTCTTCTGCATACATTCCCCATACAATATGGGGAACATAGAGTAGGAGTCATAGTCTGGTGACATCATGGTGTTATGTAAATACAAATTCTAACAGTATAGTGATTTGGTGTCCCGAAAGGATCAGTTGGTTCGACAACAACAGCATCAGTTCATAGGTAAATAGAAAGTTTGACGAATGTACCTTTATATGCTGAGTCAATTCACCTTTCAAAATTTTATTCTTGCATATCATTGTTTTATTATGTCATTTCAGATAAAGCAAGTGCCCCATCCTTGATTGACCAAAACAAAGAGGAGGTGTGCATCGATACTTTTGTTTTGCATATGTTTCAAATGTTATAATTCAGGATATGATATTTACATATTACTTTATATACATTGAAACCCCGATAAGTAAACTACTGATGAATGGCAACCCTGGTTAAGTAAACCTTTTTCTCAATAACCTTCATTATTTCATGATGGATAAGTAAAAACGAATAAAGTGGCAAGTCTGTTTAGTAAACCTTCCTCTCTCAACAATCCCTTCGGACAATTTAGCATAACAGAAATGTGACAATACTCGGACCAGTCCTTGTGGATACACTCCAGCAGTAATTACCATGTATCACCTGGCATCAACCACTTCGTTGTTAACGAGCCGACTAATTAGTCTCTTCCTGTATGTTGTTTATTGTCATAATTAATCCCAACCGGTGTCAAATCTGCCATACACTGGATATAGTGGATCTGAGTAGAGAGGCAAGTTCCAACAGAGTGCCACCACTGATCACAAAATTGTGCAGTATGGATGTCACAATCTGATGGAACAACAGTGTTGACAGGATTCCCTATGCTAGCAAAGGAGAAAAGGTATGAAAACCAACCAGACAAGTATCAACGCCGTTTAAAACATCTAATTTCGTTCGTTCAAGGCCTTCTTTTAGTTGATTCATTTTCCGTGTGAAACTATTAGTGTAACCATATAGTGAAACGACAGTGTGATGCTGATTCAAATGTGTGATATCATAACAGGTGATATTATACGTGTACTTGTATATGAAATGTTTTTTTAATGATGAGTGTTGTTAAAAAATGAATCAAATTTGTATATATCTATTTATTTTATTTTGATCTGCAGATAATTTATTGAATGGTCCAGGTGAAGGGTCAGGGGTTGTCGTGATACAATGGGGATACGATGTCTATTTACTTTACTTGGAAATGTGGACAACTTGCTTGAATGGATAAGTGGCAATACGGATAAGGAGCAACTTTTGCCATGGTCCCTTGGAGTTTTACTTATTCGGGTTTCACTGTATTGTAAATAATGCTCAGGTATATTAATTTTAGACATGATTAACTCTACAAGTCAAGTAAATCAAATGCTCAAATAAGCCATATGTGTGCAATATTTCTATCTGTGGTAGAAACGTTCTTGTGAATACAAGGAAAAAATTTATACTTTCTGTAATGTGTATTGATATTTTATAATTTTCTGACCACATTGAACAAATTTTGTATTGTTTCAGGTTCCAGATCTGGTGTGTTCTGTCCAAACCATGTTGTTCAACAATGAATTTTACACCTCGGAAGGATATGGGCAGTGCAGCACCCCTGACATTATCATGGACCGATAACAGATCCAACATATCAGCATCAAGTTACCGCTCAGGAAAGATAAAATACTCCTGAAACACACAATTGAGACAACCGGGGAAACTTTCACAGACCATATATTTGCTGTTGTCGAGTGGTACAAGTCATCGGACACCAACCTCGGTTATTTGCCACCAACCTGAGTTTGGCAAAGCAGACAACTAAACCCTGGGACCTGCCTCATTCACCCCAATCCAGAGAATCCAGTCTAAGTGTACCTGGTGCACCGAGAGAGCTGGACAAAGGCCATATTTAATTGTTGTTCCTTTACCTCACCATTTGTATGTATAAATACAATGTTTTTGCGCAATCTTTTGTGTATGGTAGTGTAAATATGATACTACCTCATTTCTCTGTTGATAGTGAAAAAACAAAGAAGGGAAAGAAATGAAAACGTCTTTTGTTTTTTGTATCATCAAGACACACTGAAATATGATATTAACCACCGAACGCCCTGCCCAGCCACCCCCACCCCAATTCTTCCCATCAAAGCATAATCAGCTTAAATTATATTTGTAAATGACCTCATTATTCTACATAATAATGTAATATGATATGAAAGCAAACCTAAGTTTCAGGAATGGAAACCGACAGTGCACACATAAGCTGAAGTTTCTTGTTGGTTTCCATTTCCGACACTATAAGTTTACAGTGTCCATTCTATTAGGAAACTAGGTTACCCAGTTTCAGTGAATGGAAACCAACTGGACGCCAGGATGTTCAACTTCATGCTAGACCATTACAATTTTTAAGTTACTTGTTCAAAACAGTGCTCAGGAAACCAACATGAAACTACATTTTATGGTTTTCTGTTGGTTTCCATTCCTGAAATATCCAACTGCAAATTCCAGGAATGGAAACCAACAGGAAACCCATGACCTTAGTTTCTTGTTGGTTTCCATTTACGGAAATTCAGAAATCACAGAATCCAAAATGGAATCTAGTTGGAAACTCAGTTACTCAGTTTCAGTGAATGGAAACCAACTGATTCCCCATTTACCTAGTATACGGTTGGTTTCCAGATTTCAGGAAACCAAGTCATTTTGTAGTGATTGCACTTTTGATTTGCGATTGTACGCTTATAATTTTGTTTTATATGTTTTTCATAACAAGCAATGTATATTATATGTCATGAATAAGTGATAATTGTGTTTTAATTATGTTTGATTTTTGGTTGCATGTGACCTTTAAGTAATTCATAAAGGTAGGAGGGTAACGTTTCTTTTGGCGTCTAGTGTATTGTGCCTTTCCGAAAACCTGATTGAGATAGATAATAGTATTACTTTCTGTAAATTTAGTCAATCGATCATGCAAAATACTTGTAAATAGTTTCCCAAATAACTTACTAATGCTATTGGTCTATAATTATTTGGATTGCTTCGATCTCCCTTATAATTGTAAATAAGCTTAAAAATATCGCATATACACAGGTCTAAAACAAGGTTAGAGAGATTCACATAAACGTGGCCAAACGTTTCAAATGATTCGACTAAATATTCGTTTATTACTTGATCTGTGCCTGCAGTCTTGTTTCTTTTAAACGTTTAAGGGCGTTTGCTATCTCATTTTAAATAATTTCCTGTCGTCATAGTCTTCTTTTATATCATTGCCGTCTGGACAGTCCGTGTCTGGGTGAGTTTTACTATTAATATCTTAAAAACTTCATAAAACGGTTTAAATCCACATTAAAGTCATTTTTCCATTTCGGATTGAGAATCTTCCAGAAATCTTTTAGCGATTTTGATGATCTCATTTGCCCTAGTTTGTGGCCCTTCGCGTTCCTGTATTTACGTGCGGTTCTCTTAAAACACCGTTTGTATTTTTTAGCCTTAGTGAAAATAAAGCTTCGTTACTTCATTCTTATGTCTCTTGAGGCGGTTTTTCCCCTTTGTACTTCCTCCTCTGTGTTATACATTCAGTGTTAAACCACGGCTTAACTTCTGAGCTAGCGCGCGTGATCGTGTGTGTTGATCTTACTCCAAACGTGGTGCATGCAGAGTCCACGAGCACGTACGCGATGCTGTTTGTCAGTGTGTTTATGAACTCGAGACTGTTACGGGTTTTACCTTTCGATACATTTTGCTGACTAATATCTAGGATAGGCTTTGTATCTATATTTGTACGAAATATCTCGTTTAAATCCGGCGTGAATCTACGAGGTGTTTCAACCGAAGACGAATAACCAGTGTATTCGCATGAATTTACAGTCAGACGTAATGTCGTTTTGAATGTTATAATTACAATTTTCCACTTTTAGCGTAAACTTTAAAGGGCAATATACGTCTGAGAATAACGGGTTGAATAACAGCGTGGGGAAGCTATAACGTAATCAAGAACACTTGTGTCTCTGCAAATACGGATCACTTGAGGACATGGACGTGTCCGAAAACGTCCATTCTAGGGCACATAGCTTGTCGCCCTCGAAAACGGTGCGGGGTAGATCCCCAATTAATCCGCCTAAAAGATAGGTCCATCTAAACATATCGTGCAGTAGAACTGTAGAGGACTACGGACAAATGTTAATGAAATACAGCTATTGATCCAGGATTTAACACCATCAGCGTTCTGTCTGCAAGAGACGTATCTGAAACGGACAGGTAATTTTAGCTTACGTCAGTTTGAAGCCTATCATTATTTTTCCCCTCTGGGTGATAGAGCCACTGGAGGTTCTACTATCCTTATACGACAGGATGTTATTCACAGTCCTGTTACACTTAACACTAATCTCCAAGCTGTTGCAGTGCGACTTACTCTGGGTGTAGCATTTACATTATGCTCTCTGTATATTCCGCCTTCATGGGCACTTCAACGGACTGATCTTCAATCACTCTATGATCAATTCCCGAAACCATGTGTTATTATGGGTGACCTAAACGGTCACAACCCACTCTGGGGCAGTACTTACACTAATGCTAAAGGCAAAATAATTGAAGATTTCATTTCCAACAATGACCTGTGCATATTTAATGATGATTCAAGCACCTATCTGCATCCTGCAACTGGCACTTATTCCTCTCTGGATTTGTCTCTTGCAGATTCTAACCTCCTGAATGAATTTGATTGGTCTGTTCATAATGATCTTTGTGGAAGTGACCACTTCCCAACTATCCTTTCAGAAATTACTCCATCTGATTCTCCATCGTATACAAGATGGAACCTTTCGAAGGCTAACTGGTCTTTATATCAAACTATATGTAAATCGAACTGCGACCTGAATATTTCAGTAATATAACTGATCCCATTCAAATTTTTGCTGACGTTTTAAAGCAAATAGCTGATGAGTGTATACCAAAGTCCTCTACGACCCCACATGTACGAAAACCATGGTTTAATACAGATTGTAGACAAGCTAGAAAAGCGAGGAAAAAGGCCGAGCGTTATTTCCGCCATCATCTAACTGTCCATAACTTAAATCAATTTAAAATACTCAATGCAAAGGCGCGTCGTACCTTTAAACAAAACAAACGACAATCTTGGAGAAATTAAGTCTCCAAAATAAATTCACGCACTCCAATGTCTAAGGTATGGAACATGGTCCAAAGAATTAAAGGTAAAGCTTTCAACATCTACTGTTCACCATCTGAAAGATGGCGATAATTTAATAACTGACAAATCTAAAATTGCAGATAAAATTGGCGAAACTCTTGCCAAAAATTCATCTTCGGCAAATTATGTCCCTGAGTTTCAGAGATACCAGAAGCAACAGGAAAAGACTAAACTTAATTTCGAATCAAATAACGGTGAAGATTATAATGAAGTGTTTTCATTACATGAGCTACACACTGCTCTTGAGCAAGCTCATGATACTGCAGCGGGTGATGACAATATACATTACCAGCTACTGAAACACTTACCTGAACCATGTATGATCATACAGATCCGTCGAATTACAGACCAATATCTCTAACTAGCTGTGTCTGTAAAACCATGGAACGTATGGTGAATAATAGATTAACATGGTATCTTGAAACCAATAACCTTATAACAAATATTCAATGTGGTTTCAGGAAAAATCGTAGTACCATTGATCATTTGGTACGTTTAGAATCCTTTGTTAAAAATGCTATAGTAAATAAACAACATGCAGTATCAATTTTCTTTGATCTTGAGAAAGCTTATGATACAACCTGGAAGCATGACATTTTGAAGGATTTACATGATTTTGGTTTGAGAGGCCGTTTGCCTCTTTTTATATCACAGTTTTTGAAAGACAGGCAATTTCTAAGTCCGAGGGCTCAACCCTGTCTGACCATTACAATCAGGATCAGGGTGTCCTGCAAGGCAGTATTTTGTCTGTCACTTTATTTAGTATCAAGATAAACAGTTTATCCAAGGTTTTAAACTATTCAATTGATGGATCACTCTTTGTGGATGATTTTAATATTTCTTGTCGTGGTAAAATTATGCATACTCATTGAACGTCCAAAACTAATTGTCTACACTTTGTAGAAAAGATAAGCCCTATAAGGACCCAGAACTATCTTTAAATGGCACTCCTATCAAAGTTGTCAAGGAGGCCAAGTTCTTAGGTCTAATTTTCGACTCTCATTTAACCTTTTGCCGCATATTAAATCACTTAAAGCTAAATGCATGAAGGCCCTGGATTTGTTGAAAGTTGTTTCCAACTCAAAGTGGGGAGGGGATCAAGCTACCCTCCTCCACCTATATCGATCATTGGTCCGCCTGAAACTTGATTATTGCTCCATCGTATATGGTGGAGCCTGCAAAAGCAACCTAAAACTACTTTGATTCTGTCCACCACCAAGGCCTGAGACTTTGTCTTGGGTCTTTTAGAACCTCTCCAATTGATAGTCTCTATGTTGAGGCTGATGAGCCATCACTTACCCAACGTCGTATCAAACTATCTTTACAGTATATAACAAAAAACT